TAGTCTTAAATGCCAAAACATTATTTGTTCATAAACAGAGTTAGAACTAACACTACTAAGGCCCTGAGCCTTTTTATTACTGGAGAAGTCCCCATCAAAGTAGTAAAGTCCATCTATTATCTGAGCACTGCGAATCTTCTTCCCCAAGCTCCGGTCCTGAATTTCACAGTAAGAATTACAGAAAATTACACGACAATTAGATTCTTTGGTTAGTTTACTCACAGACAAAAGGTTACAGGCTAGTTTAGGGACATGGAGAACATTTTTAAGATTTATATTATCGGATAATTTTATCAAACCTTTTCCTGCAATAGGTGAGAAACTACCATCTGCAATTCTAATTTTTTCAAGACCAGAACATGGTGAGTAAGTGCTAAAAAGATTGGAAAGGCTAGTCATATGATCTGAGGCTCCAGAATCGATGATCCATGGAGTATAATTTAAACAACAAGAAAGGGCATTAAGTACACTACCTGTTTGTGCAAGAGAAACATTAGGAATACCAGATGAGGAATTAAATTTCAGCAGCTTCAGAAGGTGATCCATCTGCTCCTTGTTTAAGGGACTTGTCTCAGCTTCATTGGCAGTAGGAACCGCGCGCATATTTCTGTCACCAGGCTTGCTACTCTTCCAATTCGCTGGTTTTCCGTGGATTTTCTAGCAGTTCTCTCGAGTATGGCGTGGTTTGCTGCAGAAGTCGCACCAAACCTGTGGCTTTTCTTCAGGTATTCGCTGAAAATTAACTGCTTTATTAGCAGCAGTCTCGGCAACAATAAGGGCAGAATTTTCAACAGGTCCGCTGGTAGTCTTCTTCCCCAACATTACATGTCTGCAGCTCTTTTCTTTTCGAACCTCAGCAAACACTTCACCAATTGGAGGAAGTAGAGTCCTGCCAATGATCCGTCCTCGTACTTCATCAAATTCCACGTTGAACCCAGCAAGAAATTTGTAAATACGATGAGCCTCCACGGTCCGTTTGTAGTGATTGGTGCCAAATGCGCTTTAATGAATTGAAATACTTGGTGATCGAGTCTTCTCCCTGCCGAATCTCACCAAGTTTTAGAGCCAATTTGTAAATCTGAGACTAATTTCCCAAATCAGAGTACATCTGATTCACGTTGTCCCAGAGCTCCTTAGCTGTGGAGTAGCACATATAGTTGGAGCTAATATCCTCGTCCATGGAGTTCACAAGCCAAGTCATCACCATTGAATTTTCTGCATCCCAGGTCACGTACGTTGGGTCCTCCGATGCTGGTGCCTTCTTGTCTCCCGTCAGGTACCCAATCTTTCCCCGCCCTCTGATGTACATCCGAACGGACTGGGACTACCGTAAATAATTGTCACCATTAAGGCGAATATTGGTGATCTGAACCAAGTGAGAATCGGTACTGGGGGCTTGGGTTGTCGGATTTGTTGATTGGGTTGTGATAGGCGAGGATGACATGGAGGAACCGTCAGACATGCTGATGAGTGAAGAAATTGTGCAGAAAAGAAAATTAGGGTTTTTTTTTTTTTTTTTTTGCCCTTAGGGTGGCTCTGATACCATATAAACAATAAAGGAAAGAAAAGTAGAAAAAACATTTTTCTCTGTATTAGCACACAATTAACGAGTTTACACATGTTCTCTTTATATGAGAGAATACACGTACAGCTGGCCTATTTAATAATTTCCTATTTTACAACATTTGACCAATATTCTATTTACAGAAAATATTCTCCAAATATTATATTTACAATTAATAATATTTGGTAGTATTACTACCAAATCTTTCCTTTTCAACACCAACAAAGATCTGTCGAGTAGGAAGATGGAGCTAGTACTTTGATGCTCAGGTTGCTCTGATAGAGAATACTGCAGAAACTGCTAGCAACAATCCCAATATCTTTACCTGCTATCCACATCCAGGGGCAATCAAAGAACCATAAGTTCAAAATTATCTATAAATGTTTGTGAACCTAAATTAAGGTTCACCTTCTTCTCTTTCTCAGCATATACGAGGAAGATGCTTATGTCGACTAATTGGAAAACTGCTCCTACTGAATTGACTGTAGCAAACAAAACAATAGAATAAATCAAATCTACTGTAGACTAAAGACACAAATGAATCAAATCAAAGTCCAATACAATGTTCACGACCCCTTTGAAACACAAATAATACATCCTAGCACATTATGTCTTCATCTTCGAGAAACATTACCAGTCATCTCAGAGGGGAAACACTGCCTTGGAAATGTTTTAGCTGTGTGCAAGTTTACATTGATTTCTCAATGCTTCAGAAATGCATAAAAATTTAATGCAAATTCATAAATGATGAACTTGGCTGCTGAGTAAATTTTGAAGAAATAAAAAAGAAAAGCCAAACACTTTAAAATTTTAAATTGTCATTTTATACGCATAGGTGATACTGAAACCAAATGCAAGATATTACTTTTGATAAATTCGACAACGCTGTGGATGTATTCATGTCCAAAAAAACAAAAAAGACTCAGAAAATTTCCTTTTCTGTCCTTCCATACCATTTCTCTCATCAGCTAAACAGAGGAAAGAACAAATTCTTCAGTGTAGACAACCTAGTAGAAAAGAAATGGCAAATTGCAGAGAAACTCTTAACAAATTCTTCATATATATATATATATACTCCAAACAAAACAATCACCAAGTGGAAATTTTACTCACTGATAATTTGCATACAAGAGGTCAACTGATAAAACCAAAATGAAAATGAAAATGAAAGATAGAGAGAGAAAAGGTTCCAGCTGCATCACTGCAAACTGAGCAAGTGGAGACCAACCCAGTTGGAATCATCAATCAGTCTATTCAAACTTCATTCGTCACACAAATCTCTCTCTCTCTTACCCCGAATATGAGCCAAGCGTTTAGACTTTAGATATACAGTATATATTACTGATAAATTCCTGGGACAGGGGATTAATGGTGTATAAGCCAAAGGTATTGTAGATATTTCTCCCATTTATCAAATTATCACTGAATATACTAAGTGACTACTGCGCCATTAGGCTATATGGTATAACCGCTCCTTTCCAAATAAGGATTAGTGGACACTTATTGGGAGGACTATGTGAGTTTTTTTCTTTTTCTTTTTTTTTTTTGCCTGGGCCAAACTGTCATTGTGTGAGCATTTACCTAACAAGAGAAGGGAAAAAAGTTGATCAGTGATAATTTGTTATTGAATTGATACATTTATCCTTAAGAAAAAAGTAAAAATTAGAAATTTAGTATTTAAAACTTCGACCCTTAAAAATGAAATATTAAAAAATTTTGTACTTAATTTTCAGTGTTGTAAAACACTGAAAATTAAAACTTCGACCCTTAAAAATGAAATATTAAAAAATTTTGTACTTAATTTTCAGTGTTGTAAAACATTTTTGTCTTTTATAATATATATTCACACTAGCTGAAAAAGAAAGTTATCTCGGAATCACACAACTTCAGACACTATTCTGTGCGAATTAAAAAAGCTCTCTAGCAAATCTACTGTTAGCAGGAAATATGCATATAGAAAGAAAGAAGAAAATAATAATGGTGAGAGCAAGATTAATTAATTCTCTGAAGGACAGTTTTTAAACTTCGAAAATTTGGTACTACCATTTTTCTCGAAAGGAGAAGAGACCAGATATAGTAAAGGAAAATGATGGAGAGCCTGATGTGGAGGTGGGACCCACTAGCTGCGAGAGAGATACCCGGATCTCCTTCTATAATATCAATTTTCTGTGTACTCTTTTATAAACATATAGTGTAATTACAAGTGTTCTAGGAGGAATGCAGATTTCAGTCAGAAGTCAACTTGCAGAACGTATTATTTGCCAGTAGCCTTTCAAGTTGTTATCAGAAATTCCCTTGTAGATTGTATTGTTTTCAACATAGATTAACTGAAGAGGCTTGTATGTGTCAAATGTTAAAATCCATGTCCGCGGTGATCTTGGAAATACAAGGACTGTAAGAAAGTATAACTTTCATATTTTAAGACTAAAATTCGTATAGCTTTTTGTATCCAATGTCACTAATCATGTTCTCATATTCAAACACAAGTCCCGTCATTTCAAATGTATCGATTTATACAAATGTATCACTAGTCATTGTCCACTGGACGCATTTCCAGTGAGATGCATTGCAACATTTTTATCAGTAAAGTTGCAACAAATGAAAGTTTTCAACAAATGGTAATAGCAAATAACTCATGTAGTTTTGGGTTGCGTGTAAGTATGAATTTAGTTCTTAATATAATTTAAAATCTTGCTTGAATTTTCTAATGATCTAAAATGTGATCGAACAACACAACTAAACATATTTTAGATCAAACAACACAACTGAAAATAATTTAATCTGTCACATTTTTTTAATCTTCTAGGATGAGAAAGTCATAATGAATAAACATTATGTGTAGATACCATGAAAACATACATGCAGCACACTATTAGAAAAAATAGAATAAAACAGCCTAACATGACCAAAAGATCCTAAAGACAATCATTCCGATGAACTGACAATCTAACAGACAACGCCATTTATATCAATTTTTTGATGAAAAATAAACAACATATATGTGCCTCTACTAGTGATTTCTATCTGAGAAAACTTCCTTTGGTACGTAGTTCCGATATCATGGAGCAGAGGAGCTACAAACACTTCCACCTCCCAAAGTAATGCAATCTGTTGCAATAAAATCACATTATCAGCACATAAAATGTGATTTTGTTTTTTCTTCTTTCGTTTATTATCCTAAATATAGGCATTCATGGACAGATAGAAATTAGAAACTTAGTACTAGAGGCACATACTAAGGTAAAATCAAAATGTATTCCTCTGGTTTGGAAGTTAATTATATAAATTAATTTATTAAAGGACTATTTGGAAACAAATGCCCCGTCAAAATGAGGTTAACTTCGAAGTATGCCCTTGGTAAATTTGATGTTTACAACTACAAGTAACATAAAATAGATACCTTCATGTTTATTGCCTTTCACGGCTTGCAAGAAACTTATGTCTGATCTTCTTCAGTGTTGCCAGGGTTTCTTTCATGTTGATCCTGTGATTCTGCACAGCAATTCAGAGCCAATTGCAAGATGGCTGATACACATTGCACCTTTGCACCGAGTTGTCCTTCCTCTGGGCTGAGCAAGTTGGCATCTATAACGTGAATTATTGCATTAGGTAGTGACTCACTTACCCATAGCTTCAAGCTCAAGTCTCCAGCAAATTTTTCATCACTGGGCTTAGTTCTTGTAAATGTTTCCATTAACATCATACCATAACTGTAAATATCGGACCTTGTGGATATTAATCCTTCCTATCCGTACTCTACGTCCAACGTCAAAATCAATCAAAAGAATTAACATGTGAAAGGGAATCAAAACTTCAATTAAAAATTTTGTTACAATAATAAAGAAAACCTGAAGTAAGATTTGAAAAAAATTAATGTCAAAAGCTTCACCTGGTACAATATATCCCAAAGTTGCTAGAGTCTTGGTGTGATCAATACTCTCCCCCTCACCCAAGAACTTCGAAATTCCAAAATCACTAAGATGTGCAACCATATCTTCATCCAACAGAACATTGTTAGGCTTCAAATCACAATGAACCAATGGTATTGAATAACCATGGTGGAGATAGTCTAACGCACATGCTACATCAATCATTATGTCTAATCTCTGTAAGATATTTAAGAAATAGTTATGAGAATACAACCACTTTTCGAGACTGCCATTAGGCATGTATCAGAATACCAGGGCTCTGAAATCTAGGTTAGAGCAACTGCTGATAACTTTTGTGAGATTTCTATGGCGAGTGTTGCGCAACATTTCACATTCCGTATCAAAACTCTTGGACGCACCTTCTAATTTTATATTGAATACCTTGATTGCCAAAACGGTCCCATCTATAAATGTCCCTCTGTAAATAGAACCAAAACTTCCCGTTCCAAGCAAGTTGCTATTACTAAAACCATTAGTAGCATGTAAAAGTTCTTTGTATGAAATTCTGTCTTGTGTTAATGTGGGTAACAGCTCCGTTTCAGTTGGAGTTCTGTTTCTCTTCCAACATCTTATTGATACAAATGTGAAGGTCATGGCAATTAAAGCAATTGGAAACAAAATGTAACCAACTAGAAGCACTCTTTTTGTCCTTGATCCGTGAAGAGAACTTGAATGGCATGGTGGGATTTGCAACTGCGGGGCACCACATAGTGCTTCATTTGACATGAAGGACTGATTTGTGAAGTTTATAAATGGTCCTTTGGTCGGAATTTCTCCTTGTAACCTATTGAAAGATGCATTGAAATATTGAAGGTATAAGAGTGACTCCATGGACTTCGAAATTACACCTGAGAGATTGTTATAAGATACATCCAATGATTCCAAGCTTATCAAGTTGCCAAATGACTCAGGAATATGTCCACATAATCTGTTATGTGCCAAAGAAAGACTGATTAAGGTTTGTAGAGCTCCAACTGTGTCAGGGATATCACCTGAAAAGCTATGCACTGACAGATTTATTTCTATTACGGCCTTTAAAATTCCAATCTCCGAGGGAAGAAAGCCACTTAAATAATTTGAGGACAAGTTCAAATACAAAATATCTTTGAGGTTGAAAAGATTTTTGGGTATTGTGGAGGTTAATTTGTTTGCACCAAGAAATAGTTCTCTTAGAGATGTAACATTACCTCAACAAGTTGGGATCGGACCAAAAAGTTTATTTTCACTCAGAAATAATGCACCCAAGTTGTGTAAGTGGCAAAGATTATTTGGAATGGGCCCTTGTATCTTGTTATATCCAAGATCTAAAACTTGAAGCCTTTGCAACTGTTTCACTGTCATGGGAATAGATCCAGTGAAGCCATTACCATACAAACTTAAGAAAGCCAAATTGCTCAAGTTACCAATATGGTTGGGAATGCTGCCCTTAATTTCACAATTTCTGGCATCGATTTCTTGAAGTGAAGTGGAGAGATTCCCAATGGAAACTGGAAGAATGCCATTTAGAGGATTTTCGGCTATCCACAATTTTCTTAAACGTCTGCATTTTGTCAAGGCAGTAATAAGGCTCAATTCTGCGTTTGAAGATTCACCAATGAAATTGTTTCCTTCTAGGTTTAAAAGTTCAAGCAGTTCCAAGTTACCAAGTGAGTTGGGAAGTGAATGGCTGAAATTGTTCAAGGCAAGGTCTAAATGAATGAGTTTGGAAAGATTGGAGATGGAGTGAGGGATAATTCCGTCAAGGTTATTTCCATCAAGGTACCACTCTTTAAGATTGGGTAACCTAATACTTGACGGAAGTTTGCTTAAAAGATGATTTTCCGTGAATCCAAGGATTCGTAGTGTTGAAATGTTAAAAATTGTAGCCGGAATGGGACCTTGTAAGCTATTGATATCTAAACCTAAAACCTCCAGATGGCGTAGGTCACCAATCTCTTGTGGTATTACACCTGCAAAAATGTATTATAATACACACAAACAAGTAAATTGTTGGCATCTACAAATTGCAATGATTACCAATCTCATGTACATTTTATTTTAGCAAGCTTTCCATCTTTTTTTGTTTTAGCGATCTTATGATAGCAAAGTTTGTGAGAACATGTTCTAATAAGCTCACTGTAATGTTTATGAATTGTTTATATATATATAATAATAATAATAATAATAATAATAATAATAATTTAAAAAGAGGGATATTTTGCATAGTGGTGGGGCCTACCCCCCATTCACTTTCATTACTGGCCAAAAGGCCAATTTCGGCCTCATTTTTTCTCTCTCACTCCCGACAGTCTCTCTCTCCCCCTTGGTTTCTTTTTCTTTTTCTTTCAATTAAGCTTTCAAAGCTTGATTTCTTCCACACCAATTGGAATTTGATAGCACTTCCTCGGTAAAGTTATAGAGCTCGTTGAGGTCGTCGATTTGATATGAGCCAAGCACCATTTGGCCAAGCCTAGGGATTTCGAATTTAGGGCTTGAATTTGGGGATTTTAGGGATTTTCACTTCCATTGAGGTAAGGGTCTCTAATACATGATTTTCTTATGTTTTTGTGAGTTATTTTCTTATAATTTGTTGAATTGTATGCTTAACTAGTCTAAATTCTTGCAAATTGCTTAAATACTATATATGAAATTTGTGACTATGTGTTAGTTGATATGTTGTTATTAAGCATGCTTATGTGAAATGAAATTTGTGTTTTGTATGCTTAATATGCTAGAACAATGTGGAATGAAAGTATGAGTTATATATTTTAGTAATTTATTTTGAAAAGCATGTATGAACTTCTATAATTGAACTGATGATTAGGAGCTTCATCCATTGGGAAAGAAAAAGGGAAACGTGTTTTGAAAACAAATGAAACTATTTTGGGGAAATGATTTTGAAAAGTGTTTGTGAAAACTGGATGCCTAGGAGGGGCCTTGTGGTCCGTGTTGTTAGTGTGGTCTAGAGGGAGTTAGAGAGAGACTCTAGTGTGGTTGAGCTACTTATGTCCAGACGACGCTATGGAGGTGCCATGTGGTTGGGGAAAGCTAGCCAATCCTTCCTTTGTGGCGCCATAGAGGTGCTATGGGCCAAATTGCATTAACGGTTTGGAACGGCAAAAAGGAATTGTTTTGGAAAATGGGGAGCGACATTGGCATGGCATTGCACTTCATTAGCATATTTGGTATATTTGTTATTGGATGACATTTATTTATATACTTGTTGTTGTGATTACTGATGTGCATTCCCTATGGTATGATCCCGCCTACTTTTTACCTATTCTTTGCGTGGATTCACGGGGTCATAAGAAATGTGTCTTAGACACTTCCTATTGAGTTTATGCTCACCCCATTATCTTAACATTTTTTAGGTTTGGGAAAAGAAGTGACGGACGACAATCCACCACAAATCTAGATTGGATCGGGATTATCATTTTCTGGTCTTTTGTGTAGAAACATGAACCATATTCTCTTGTAATGACCAATTGTAGCTTGTATAATGTTGTAGTAATGGATCTTATAGAAACAAATGTAATCTTAACTATTTTGTGAAACTTTAGTTTAATTAGTATAATGTTGTAAGTTATGGACTTTTAAATTTTAACTATATTCTATGGACTATAACTTGATGTAATTAAAGTACGTTCATTGTAAAGGATTATGAAACTAGGTAGTGAACTGGTAATTCCTTGTTTGGATGAGATGGAGGAACGAGACTTTTTATATGTATGTAATCATTTTGAAAATATGGTATAATATTTGTATTGTGCGTTGGGATATGATAGATTAGTTTTAAGGTCAAGTGAGGCCATTGCATTTTTATGTATTTTAACAGGTTGTAGAGGGACTTTTTCTGTAGAGGTCATATTGAAATTTTATATATTTTATTATTATTATTATTATTTTGGTATCTTTTTGGATCGTTACACTCTCATCCATTGAAGGGGAAAAAAAATGGAAGTTATTTAAAGAAAGTTGGATACGTTTGGTACTTTTAGTAAACACTCCATACCACTTCTGTAAATCAAATAGACAGATAAAGTATATAATTGAGAGGATACCTGTCAACCTGTTCTCGCCCAGATGTAATTCAATTAGTGAAGTAGAGTTTCCAATCTCTCTTGGGATGCTTCCATACAGTTCATTATTGTTAAGTCGATGATTTGTTAAAGACAAAAGATGGTATGGTACCAGTGAGGCCAGCATACTCAATTGTTAATATCTCCAAACTATGAAGATTTTTCAGCTGTTGTTGAATTTCACCTGCACAGTAATACAAAATGACCAACAAACCTCTTTTTCAAGTATATAATATAATTATTAAATTAAACCATTTGAAGATATTCTAGGTTTTCTATTTAAACAAAGCTCCTTTCCAATATAGCATGCAATAGCACATAGCTTGAAGCCAATCTGTACATTTTATTTAAAACTTGAAGTTTTCATTTCCTTTTTCTTTTTCAAGGATTAAAGGGGGATCCCCCGTAAGCCCGACCAACGCAAATCAATTCCTTTCGAGCACAAGCATATTTTTGCACACGTGTGTCACATAAGTTAGAAGCAAGGAAGAACGATACAATTGAACTGGTGGAAGACATAGCTAACAAGGGAAGTAGGTCCTTCTAGTACACTGGGGGGAGTCCAGCTAGCAAGGATGTGGAACATGACATTGAAAAAACTGAAACACAACTAAAAGACTGCAATTAAACACAAGCGATGGTACTGTAATGTCTATTTTTAAGAGGCTCTATTTGGGAATTGAATTAGATCATAATAAGTGGACTCCTTCATGGCATTTTACAAATCCGTTCAAAAATCCTTGTCTCTGTACAAAGTCAGTTTATCCTGAAATGGACTTTACAAGTAAAAACTGTTACTTATTTTCACTTATTGTTTTCCTATGTGTGGAGGGATATCACCATGGAAACTATTGTTTTCCTATGTGTGGAGGGATGGTGCCTCTTAGGCCCATGTAAGAAAGGTCTAAGACTGAAACTCTGTGGTGGCGAGTGTTGCAATGGACACCGATCCAGTTGCAAGGGGAGGTTGAGTTGGTCCAGTTGTTTGCCAACATGTTTTGAGGGTAAAAAGTAATATGGGATTTCAGTACAAGAAGAGCTGATTGATCACTGGTGATATTGGTTAGAGTCCTCCTAGTACTCATAGCCAAGCAAGCCATGAGAGAGTAGTATTGCACCAACACCACTATTTTAACATAAACATGGAATAAGCAAGTTTTCTCCATGAGTGAATCTTATGCTGTGGCTAGACGTATGAAGTTCGAAAACACAGTTTTGGATGAATAGAAATAGGAAGGAAATGAAATACCTTGCCAAATATATAGCAGTTGTGGTGATGAGCAATTTACATGGAAGGACAATTAATTAAAATTTTCAGCTGAGTACAATAATAATACGTTATTATAAATATTATCATGGGTTCATTTCACATCATCTAAATAAATTGAGACCATGCAGATCAAAAGATCTCTTAGACTGTGATCTCTTCAAGTCTCGTACCATTTTGCCTTTATAAATTAATGGAAATGGATTCTAGGGTACAATTGAAATTTTAAAATTTAATGAATTTCATAATCCAAGTAGTCACGCTACTTTAATTAAATTTTCTAAAAAACTGTTGGCTTTAATCTTGTGGGTCTCTTCTTGTCAGTGAATCTAAGGAGCCTAAATTTCTGATATACCCCATGATTATATTGGAGTTCTTCCTACAAAAGTTATAAGCTTTTCTTCCTAAGTGGAGAGGTGGCGTGTTCGAACCTCAGTAGAAGCATAACATGTATAGTAGGTGTGTGTGTGTGTTTGTTTGAACTTTTGAAGAAAGAAAAAAAAGGTCTAAATAGTCTACTTCGATCATTCCCATGTTTAATTTAATAGAAGTATCACCAACTTTTACATGATTTTATAGTATATATGGTATGGCTATCCCAAAATAAGGTCGAAAATGGGAAATGTCAAAGTAAGCTGAGGTTAATAATTCAATGGTAACATTGAATGTCTAGATTTGAAATTCAATAATGAAAGTCTCATTTTATGAAATCAAATGAAACATGAAGAGACCCTAATCTAAAGAGTATTATTTCATTCCACAAAATTTATGTTGCCTGATACATATGGTGAAGTAGACCTACAATAAATTGTGATGGATATATTCAAAAAATGTATCGTGATAACTAGCAATGCTCTTCAACTTTTAAGGTACCTTATTCAATTAACAGATATTTCAATGAAAAATTAATCTAACACACACACACACCAGGAGTCTGGAAATTTAGGAGAGGAAGAGAATGTGTGTTTAACCCGTTTCTTAGTTTTAATCTTCCTAATCATACTGCTCAAATATTAATTTTCTAGTAATTAACATAATACATTTTTTTTTCCCACTGAATTTTTTGGCATCTTATCTTTTTACTTAGTGATGGTAGATAAGAGGAGTGTGGTCAATGACGACATATTGAACAGCTAATTGGGATCTTATCCTTTCTTTTTTTTTTTTTTTTTTCTCCCACTGAGTTTGTTGGTGAAACAGAGAGAGATAGAGAGTCATGTATCACGTGTTTGTTGGTGAAACAGAGAGACAGAGAGTCATGCATCACGTGTTCCATGAACCCTAATTTTCAATCTTCCTAATCATAGTGCTTGAAGTGATCACTCTTTCCTGATTCCATTGCCATCCAGCAGTGTTTTCCATAGTGGTTGAATGGTGTGATCAGTAATTTTGTCTGTCCCATTAAGGTTCTATCTATCTTCCGGATTACAATTGTAATCCTTTTATATATACATTAATTAGTTTCCACAGTAACTTAGTTGGCAGAGCATCCAATTCCCGATATTCATGTGTCCATGTTAGTGTTCGAGTCCCCCTAAATTGCCCAAATATATTATACGTAAATATTTACCCTAGATTAGAATTGATGCAATATATTTATAACTTTCTTAGAAATAAAAAATCTACCATGAGAACATTAAAACGCAAAGTTGAAATTAATACCAGCTCTTTTGGCAGCTGCTTTTATTTTGGGTTTCGATTTCATATTTTTGTTGTGTTTTATTCGGAAAAAATAAAAAAAATAAAAATAAAAAATTGGTAATTAAACTTGTTGCAATTGCTTCAAAGCAGGAAAAAAAAAAAAAAAAAAAAAAAAAAAAAAAAAAAAAAAAGTTGGAAGATTGTAAAAAAAATTGGCATTTACATTATATTGGGTTTTTTTTTGGAAAAATTATTGAAGTAAACATAAGTGAAATTTTTTTTTTTTCAGGCCTTTTGAATTTTTTTCTCCCATTTCTTCAAGTATTACTATGCAACATGCAACAAATGTTGTCAAACATGCTTTTACCATTTATTTATGTTTTTGCTAATTTGACAACAAATACACAAATCATAATCTTTATGCAATCAAAACCTTTATGCAATCTCCAAGTTCTTGATTTACTTGTTACTTGCACTGTGGGGTTGGGATGGATAGCCGGAGGTTTACCTAGTAACTATAAGACCAAAGGGCAAATAATTGCGGGAGTTTCACCTCAAAAAAAAAATAACTTTATGCAACCAAAACCTCGGGGATATGTTTGGCGGTGGTAGGTAAATGATGGATTAGGATGACTTGATGAGATGGTGGAACGGAGATGGAGGTAGAGGGGTGATTGGATTCGTGGAGAAGTTATTAAGAGAGAGAGAGAAGGAGGTGTGAGAAAAAAAGTGGAGATGATTTTATTAAAGGGTAAAATTGACAATACATTTATAAGGATAAAGTCGGTTTAATATATATATCTTTTGTTTTTTGACAGGTAAAAGGAATGGTTTAATATTATTTTGTCAACAAGCAAAGGTTTTGAAAAATAAAAATAAAAAAAAAAACAAGTAAAGGTGGTATTTCAACAAAATTTAATTTCAAATCCTATTTGTTGCTCAAAAACGTACACAACATAACAAGTATTTTAAAATTTAATTTTCAAATCCCCGATTTGTTGCTCAAAACATAAACATAACAAATATTTTGTTGCCAAAACAAATCAAATCAAATTGCAGCAAGGAGATAGCCAAATATGAAAATCAGATAAGAAGTGAATGGCAGAGAAAAGATGAGCACAATTACCACCACCACAGACCTACCTTATCATCTAAACACCAAAAGGCCACTCAACAGAGAACTCAACCAACAATCTTGAATCTCTTGAACACCAAATGCAAGACTTCATGTGGACACGGAGTTTTAGACCCTTATTCATCATTGCCGTTTTAAAAAAAATTGAGTTGACCAAAATGTTGATACAGACATTAAAAAAATAATGTTCCTAGCCCGATATTGAATCTCTTGAACTCCAAATAGAAGACTTCAAGCAAGCCCAAGCTTTGATTCTAGGGACTGGACACGTCCAAGACCATTTTATAGCAGGGTCCTTAGTGAAGTGCTATGTAAATCCTCAATTTGGCATACTGGACTGTTCCACTAAAGTTTTTGACCAAGTGCTGAAACCGAATGTTTTTGTATGCAATTCTATGATTATTTGTTTTAAAATTTGTAGTGAATTGACAAATTTACCCATAAGAAAAATTAAAAATTCGGTATTTAAAATTTCAACCATTAAAATTGAACTGTTAAAAAAATTTGTACTTAATTTTCAGTGTTATAAAACATTTTTGCCTTGTTATATACGTCCACTTACTGAAAAAGAAATCACAGAAGTTCAAGTAATATTCAGTGCGAATTAAACAAGTTCTCCGGCAAATCTACCGTTGGCATGAAATATATATATTGAGTGAGAGAAAGAAGCAAATAGCATGAGTGAGAATAAGACTATGTTTTCTATGACAATTTAGAACTAGCGTTTCTCAAACCAAGCAGACTCACCAGATGTAACAAAAGAAAATGATAAAGACACTCACTGTGCCCTAAAGCTTTGGGATACTCTTTGCAGACAAGGGAACCGGAGCAGCATCCACGGTTACACGATCACAGCCATGGTGGTGGCCTTGGCAGTGGAGACATGAATATTATGCTATTAGAGAATGATGGTAATGGTGGTTCTTGAGATATCCATGGAAGATATGCTTGAGCTCACCCACCCATTCCAAGCTAGTGGCCAAGCCATTGCTTCTTTTGCTATGAAATGTCTTCCTTACTCGCAGACTTCTGCTAGGGTCAAGGACAGTGCATGGCCATGTAGCTGCACAATCCATCACTCACTGCAATTCCATTGTTCCTTCGGCTAATTTTTTTCAAGTGATTCACAATGCAGCACAATACATCACTCGTTTATTAAGAATTTAAGCAAAAATACAAGTCATATAATTTAAATGCAACGATGATTACAATATAATTTCCTTCAAAATTTACAATTTTGAACACCCAACTTTCCTTCACCATGAAAAAGAAAAAGGACACTCAATTCCCCACATGAAAGCCGACGGAAAGCAAATTCAAAGTTTTTGCCAACAATTTCATTCATGCATAAGATTCTAGCAGAGGTTCTCTTGAGCCTTCTCCGGAATCATTGCTATAATAATAGTACAATGCCAACTGCACAATGCCCAGAATGCTTCCAATTCCATTTGGGACCTGTTTTTCAATAAAAATAAAGACAACGACAAGAGTTTCATAAGAAGAAAAAAAACTAATAAGGGCTCAGAGTGAGAGAAAGAAAGAAAACTATTGCACACGCCCCTCATTCGCCATTCTCTATGAAAAACTTGGGACATCTTCATTATTTTCTAGGAATTCAAGTTCAACATACTCCACTCCAGAAGGTATTTTTTTTGTTTTTTTTTACACAATCCAAGTATGCTTTGGATCTATTGGAGAGCACAAATATTAACATTCAATGAGAGGTTTGAATCAATCTGATGCACCAACTAAAGCATTATAACAGAAAAGTTGATGGTGTAATTTAAAGATATTGCCAACTTATACACCCTCAAATTAAACAAATGTTATGCAGAAAGAGCTATATCTCTTGTAATGTTAGCAGTGTCACCATGTCCTGTTTGGAATCTAAATTAAGCGTGTAGGAAAATCATAAGAGAAATACAAGGGTACGCGTAAAAGGGATTACTTACAGATATGAATGGGTCATGTTTAAATATTCCATAAACAAAGAATGAAACGCTCATCAAAAAGGTCGAAAGGGAGAGATAAAATGGCATGTACTCAACGCTTCTTGTTTTGATAACCAAATTCTGTCAAATAAAATTGTATCAGTTATAAGGAAATGAACCATCTATGAAATAAAGTAAAGCTATGTTTAGTTGTATGGAATTGATGCCTTGGAATTAGGATTGAAGAAAAATTAGTTCAAATGTTAAACTACTTTTATTTTTCATTCCATGCAACCCAACATAGCATAAAGGTAAACTTTCAGAATGAACTTACAATAATAAATAGAGGAGAAGCAAACATGGAAATGAGAGAAGCCACAGTCAAATATCCAACAAAGATTTGTCGAGTACGAGGGTCAAATACATTGATGCTCAAGAAAGCTATGATAGAGAATAGAGCAAAAACTGCTAGCAATAGTCCCGATGTCTTCACCTGCGAGCAACACCCATGGCCAATCAAAGAACCATAAGTTCAAAAAATTTCCACAAACGTTTTTGCAATAAGAAATGTTGGAAAACCTAAATTAAGGTTCACCTTCTTCGCTTTCTCAGCATATATAAGGAAGATGCTTATGTAGACTAACTGGAAAATTGCTCCAACTGAATTGACTGTAGCAACCAAAATAATGCCAGGAGAAACGATGGGCATGCCATACCAGAGGCATATCAAGCAGTTCAGGAGGGCATATATATATGGCAATCCTGAAAATTGTTCTGTGGACCGGTTTCTGATAATTCTCTGAAATGTGGGTCTGAACGAGGATGGAAGAAAAATATATAAAATGAGTTTGGATCATACTTATTTTTTTCATTGCAATGAAAAGATTTTTGGACATCTTACATGGGTGACACAAATAACACAAAAGCAAAGAGGTTTCCTGCAATGGACAATACAAACCTTATTAGATGAACCATTGCAATAGTACTATTTTGATTAAAATGGCCCTTTAAAGGTACAAGTCTATCAACCATAAAAAAAAAAATAAAAAAAAAAAGGTGAACAATCACAAACAAAAATGATAGTCGTGGTTGCAAGTAATTCTACAATTCCATGAAAATAATAAAGTTCCAAGTGATGAATTTTTCCAACATTTTGTAAAAAAGTCCTTTTGATTGTCAGTGGTCGATTTGATTTGATCACAAAAGACATATGAACATAATGAATCAAATCAAATCCCAATAAAATGTTTATGAACCTTTTGCAAACAGATAATATATCCCAACTCATTACCAGTCATCTCAAAGGGGAAACACTGCCTTAGAAAGAAATGTTTTACCTTTGGGCTTGTCAACATTGATTTCTCAATGTTTCACTATGGAATTGCATGAAAAATTAATGCAAAATCATATATCATGAACTTTGAAGAAACAAAAAGATAGGAGGACAAAACACTTCAAAATTCTAATTTTCATTTTATATACATAGAAATGACAAATTACAGAGAAACTGGTAACAAATTGATCATATATACACCAACAAAACAATCACCAAGCAGTGAAGATTTTACCCACTGATAATTTGCATACAAGAGGTCAACTGATAAAACCAAAAATGAAGAGGAATTTTACAAATTAATGAGGACAGAACAGATCCAAACATATATATATATAGAGAGAGAGAGACAGAGAGAGAGAAAAGGGTATATACCAGCAATTCCAGCTGCATCACTGCAAACTGAGTAAGTGGAGAACAACCCAGTTGGAATCATCGATCAATCTATTCAAGCTTCATTCGTTACACAAATCTCTCTCTCTATATAACTACGAATGTGTGTGTATGTGTGATGAATTGATTGCTGGTGTATAGGCCAATGGTATTATAGATTTTTCTCAGGCAATGGGACCAACTTTAAAGATATCCCTTTTTCTATACTGTAGATATCGCTACTACTATTGCAGTGCTTCAAAAACACATGCGTTTTTGGCAACTATTATTAGGTTCAATTTTTCAGATTCAACCTGATGATGGTCCCGACATGACATGACATGTCAAGACGTGGTCAAGCACACTGCTTTCTCCAACATCTTTTTGTCTCCTTGTCACTAAATAATACGTTAAATTGTATTATAAAACCCTGAATTATCTAATTATTGCAATGTGCACCCCTCAACTACAAAACATTACAATTAAATTTTCAAACTATTAAAAGGTTGCAGATTCACACTTGACCCAAACGGCCGACTAGAATCCCTTAAATTGCGACGTATAATTACTAAAATACGCTTAATTCTTCAACCGGTTATAACCACCTATTTTTTGTTCTTCTGTTTCTCTATCTTCCTCTCACCTTTGTATCCGCATTATGACCATCAAATCTGGTAAGAGACCGATCAAAAATAATAAATAGAATCAAAATTTGATTAAAAGAATATTACCTCTCAATCCTCCCAGTTTTGAATAAAAAAAGGTAAAAAATAAAAAATAAAAAACTTCTTATGTATTAAGGTTTAAACATATATTTATCACCTACAACTCATTTTTTTTTTTTTTTGGTCTAAGCCAACCCCTCTCCTCTCTCCCCTTTCCATGTTGGCTAGAAGCTCGAGAGAATAGTAGATTTCTCTTCAAAAAGGAAATCTCAATCGCAGATTTCTGGGCTTTGTAATTCGAGAAAATTTTGAAATTTAAAGCAAAAGATACAAAACTCTGACAAAATTTTCCTCTGTGAGTTTGCCAAATGAAATAGAAATTGGAGGAGGGAAAAAGAGAAGAATAAGATGAAGCTGAGTTTTGAACTTTTGATAATTAAAAAACAAAGTTTCATAATCCATTCCCTTGTTATTTCGAAATCTCAATTCCTCAAAACCACTAATTTTTGGGAGTATACAATAATGGCTAAATCAGGATGCATGGAGTTGCGTGAATACTGTTTGATGGGTGCACATTGAGATGGGTAAAAATGTAAAATGGGTATTGTGGTCATTTTAGTGACTCTTCTATAAGTCATGTGCGCTGAATGCTCCTGTTTTAACGGCTAAATGAGACGACAGTTTAGTTCAGGAAGTCTATGTGTAACGTTGTAAGAATTTGAGGACCTAATTGTAACGTTTTTAATAATTAAAAAAGTCCCACCTTGGCAGTAACTTAATAAATGAGGGATGTTTGGTGGAATTTGGCTTAGATTATACCTAGTTGCACTTTAATTATGTCATGTCATTATTAACGAGATTAATTGAATCTTGTCACCAGATGTCTCATTCCTAATTTATCTTCTAATGATGAAATAATATTTTATTACTATCAGACCATGCGACCATTTGATAAGTTCCTTATTCAAAGTAATTCTATAGCTTATTGAATAATACCAAAACTTATCATAGACCAATATTTAATATATAATGAATATGAGGATAATAATCTTAAACGAATACATTTCAATTATTTCTATTTTTTAATTGTTGCTTGTTTTACTTTATCATGAATTTTGCTTGAAATTGAAGATAACTTATTATTTTATTGGTTTTGAAGGATTTATGGATCGGAATTTGTATTCAATTATACCACGCATCATTAGTTTACAAAGACAGCTAATACTGATCTAAGTTATTTAAAATAAATTCTTCATTTTCAACTAAGAAAAAAAAAAAAAAAAAAAAAAAAAAAACTAATATTTTGAATATAGACTCATTTTTCTTATGGGTAAAACATTTTTCAAATTAAAGACACTGAAGGTACGGTATTTCAACTTTAAAGGCACTTTATTAAAACTATTGATGGAGAGAATGGCAAAATGCATGTGCGGTGGTCCAATGCCAAGGATGATGCTAGTTCATGGTGGTTCAGCACATTTACTATTGTATTAATTAAAAAAAAAAGGTAAATTTGGAATAAAATTAGGAATTTTGTTTGAGAATAAAATTAATTTGGAATAAAATTAGGAATTTTGTTTGAAGAAAAAAATTAGGGGTAACAAATTACGACACGATTTATTAATATGATTCGAACACGACACGAGATAAGCGAGTTTGAGTTGATTTTAAAAGAATTCGGATCAAAAACGAGTTGACATAATTAATCTGTTTACTTAACCGTGTCGGTTTAAGAGGTCAATTCGTATACTCGTGTAACTCAAAATATATGTAATATGTTACTTATTTAAATTCAATTACTATGGACAAGTATATCATTTCAACGTAAATCTTGACTATGTTTTTTCTTCTTTTTATTGTAATTGTGATTTTTTTATTTTATTTTGTTATTACTTGATTGAATATTAAATATCTCATTTTGATAAAGAGATCATTAATGTTAATTTGTTTAATAAATAGGTTAAATTAATATTAAAAATTTATGTTACCATTATTAAATAGTTCGAATTAAAATTTACTTATTGAATAAAATATCTTTACATTTACGTGACATAATTATTACCATGAACTCGAATTTCCACTCCTAAATAAAAGCACAAAAGCATTGAATATAAAGTAGTCTTATTATCGCAATCGATTGGAATCGCAAGTGGGGTCGAGTGGATAAGGGTTGCGTGTGTATATGTATATATTATTATTATATATAATATTGGCACATGGCAAATGATAAAAGTCTACAATATTGGCAAGTGATGAAAGGATACACATTACTCGTTAAGTTCATGTATGACCTCAAATCGGTGTATATTGAAGAAAATGGCACAACATAATATATACATATACAAAATTCAAAACAATCTAGGTCTCCTTTAGTAGATCTCAAATGTTTCCTTTGTTATTTATTTTTTTGATTTCATTATTTTTTTTTTATATCATTATAATTTATGACTCCGCCACTGCACTATATTGAATTTACTTCCTCAATTAAGTTATTTTTCCATCGTGCTAACAATTTACTGTCATAGTTGCATCTCTTGTCTAATTATCGAATTCAAATCCATATTTAGTGCTTGATATTTGCTTAATTAACTTGACAAACAAGTGACAAGTTCTTGTCATGACTCAATTTATGTATTTCAATTTTGACTTGTTTTATATTTCAAGAAAATATTTTCGAAACAGACAAATTCATATTTGTATCTCTCACAACTAGTGGCAAATTGTAAAATTTTGAATTTATAATTAAAATTACATCAAAAGAAAATTTATAAATTAAAATTAATAAATGGGTAGTAATTAAATTGAAGGAAAGAAGCCTTTCACAGATTTTGGGAGAAATAAGCCAAAAGTGGTCAAGAAAATTCCCAAACTGCATCCAATCATTTTTCTCTCTCTAATTTTCCCGCCATTACACTCTCTCTCTAAGGTGGACGCTGCTACAAGATTAGGGCATGGGTGTGGCCATTAATCCTCTTTACCTATAAATCAATTCTTTCTCCAGAATGGACGATGATTCTGCAAGATTGTCGCATTGATCGACGTTGTAGCTCCACCGATTGATTGTCTCTCGTAAAGCTCAAATCGTTGGAGGCATAAGAAAGAAAAAGAAGAAAATGGGGATACAGGGGCTTTTGCCTCTGTTGAAATCGATCATGGTTCCAGTTCACATCAAGGACCTAGAGGGCTGCTGCGTCGCCGTCGACACCTATTCATGGCTACACAAAGGCGCCCTATCTTGCAGCAAAGATCTCTGCAAAGGCCAACCCACTACCAAGTATGTGTGTATATGTATATACATATCTGTATTTATTCTGTTATTTGTGTGTTTTATTCCTTGTGTGTTTTATTCCTATTACTAAAGTTTTTATATGCATAATGCAATAATATATAGTCCATCATTTTGGCCAATTAATATGCTTATACGGTCAAAGGGTTTCAAATGTATGAATGTGTGGTGCTTTTTTTTTTTTTTAACAATTGTAGGTAAAATTGTATAAGGAATATACAAATTATTAAATTGCACGAAACAGTTATAGCATGAAAATGTCAACTGGGTTATGAAATGGGTTTAATTTTGTGGAAAGCATGATTTGTTTATAAGTTAGTTTTCCATTTAAAACATGGGTTTATTGGAAATACCCATGTCTACTGGGTACTGGCGATGCTTTTCCTGTTCAAGAAGCAAAATGATGTCAATTGCAAAGGCCTTCGATGTTGCTAATTTTTAGAAATATCAGATTATAAAACTACATAAGAGAAATATACTAGGGAAATGCGTTTTTTTTTTTTTGGGAGGACCAAATAGCATGGAAGAGTTTCTTTCATTTTCTGAAGAGAATATTTGTATTAATGTGGATAACAAGTATTTCTTTTTGTTTAGCGGATCAATCGAGGGTACCCAGGAGTTTCGTGTTGGTTCAGGCTCTACGCCTGTGTTGTTATATTTGCTATTGACCAAAAGAAAAAGGGAATCAATATATATATATATATATATATATATATATATATTTCTTGCCATAGTCGCTGTAGCTTTACATCTAGTTTTTAACATGGGTGTATTTTGTGCTTGATCGTTTAGGCACATTGATTATTGCATGCATAGAGTGAATTTGCTTCGGCATTATGGTGTTAAGCCTATTCTTGTCTTTGATGGAGGTCTTCTGCCAATGAAGATTGAACAAGAGAACAAGCGTGCCAGGTATGAAGATGTTTATCAAAAATCCAATTGCACTTAAATTGTTTTGGGATTCTTGGAAGCATAAACTGGAAATGACTTTGTGTTCTGATCAGTTGTTAAACATCTCATTTTTTATGTCCATTAATTCCATTTTGACACGTGTTTTGTATTTCTTTTTAGCTCGAACCTAATGCATTTCACAACTTGAATATACGTTCAAAATTGAGGTGGTTTTGCATTTGGCCAACTCATGTAACTATCCACACAATTTAAGTATTTACACATATATTCACCTACCTGTATTTATGCATGCACAGAATCACATATGCATATCTACATACCCCTTTACTTAGTGTATGGACCAGTATGGTCCAAAGATCCTTGATGCTAGCAGCTGTATGCAATGTACAACATAACGTCCGGCTTTGTTTGCATGAAGTGGTTGCTCTTACATTCAAACCAATTTTTTTTTTTTTTTGCTTAGTAATCCAAGCTTCTGTGATTGCTTGGTGCAATGACCCTACGTACAGTATATACACACGTGTTTATAATACAAAGAATGTTCTAGATTATTCAAGATGGATCCCAACTAAATCACAAAATCAGATTAAATCACATGTTCAAACCTGGATAATAATTGCCTAAAAGTGGTTTTTGATTCTGTTCAAGGAAAGTTGGTTTGATGGACGGAGAATATTTTGGGGCATCTAATTTTTTTCACTTCATCATCTTGTAATATGGTAGCTAGCATACTTCTTTTGCTCTTAATCTCTTGCCTATGTTAAAAAAGAAAGAAAGAAATATGCTAATGACATTCTTAACTGATCCACCCATTAGCAATTGGGAGCAGTCTAGTATCATTCACAAGAATATAGAGATGTTAGTGTATCCACATCATTTTCAGTTCTTTATGCACTCTCCTTTTCTGCACAATGCTCCAAATTTCTCCCATCTGGATTTTATACTCTTCTATTTCCACTGTTTTTCCAAATGTATCTTGCTACATTGTGGTTGCAAAATATGATGAACTTCATAGGTGTAAGCATATGCTTGTTAAATCTGGTTAGATAGAGGGACAACAAGTCCAGATCAGAGCTTCCAGCTGATGGAATGACTGTTCTCTCGAGGAAGCAATTCATCATTCCTCAGAATCTGTGTCCTCAAGGGATCTATCTATATCTTTTACTTAAGCTATCTACGTCATGCAACTATCCTTATCTATTATGCTTTGACAGGTGTAAAAGATAATGTCATACCATTAGAGGGTACTGAATCTGTTATTCTTTTTTTTTTTTTTTCCTGAATGGGGTGTTTTATAAATAAAAATCAAAAGAGTACAATTACAACAGAGGTAAACCTCCATTACATCTCAAGGAATGGAAAATTTCCGCTTCCAGAAAATCAACCTATCTCTAAGCTTGAACATTATAAACCAAATACAATCAAAAGATCTGCTAAACTAATATTTAGATATGTAATAACATCCCAAATAATAGCCTGCACTGCATGTGAGCTCTGTTCTTGTATCCCAGTATGAAGATTAGCATTTCTGATTGACCATATCTTTCAAAGAGTAACTGAAAATAATCCACTAAAATTCTTGGATTTTATAGTCTTGGACCCAGTATTTTGACAGAACCAGTCCACAATGTGATTCAAACTACTAAACCTTGGAACCTGTACCTGCAATATCTCAAACAGCCCTCTCCAGATCTCTGAAGCAAATTGGCACTGACAGAACAGATGATCATTTGAATCATCCCCAGCAAAACAGTTGTGACAAATGGCAGGGAGAGGCATTCCTCTTTTCTGTAAATTTACAAAGCTCAAGTTTTTGTTATGTTAGATGATGACAGCACAAATACTGACCCTAGGCCTGCATTTTTTCCAACACAATCTAGCCCATTTCAGCCTGTGACCAGTAGCTCTGCAACTATTCCATGCTGCCTTCAAAGAAAAATTCCCATGCTTCCATTTAATCTGATCAATTCCAGAGTGAATAACCACCTGCTGTATAGTAGTCTACATGATATCAGAAAAGTCACCAGGTATATTCCAAGCCCCATGATATAAAATAGCAGATAAATCAGTCTGTCTATCAATATCTCGAAATCTAGTAGCTCGAAACATTTGAATTAGAGTGTTTGACACCAAGGGTCTGTCAAAAGTTTAAACTGTCTACCATCCCCGACCTGAAAATTCACATTCTCCAGAATCAACTCTCTAGCCCCCAAAATATGCTTCCAAACAATTGAATCTGTCACCTTTGGAACAACCAACTAAAAGTTTGTCCTATTTAAGTACACTGCCTGCAACCATTGAATCCATAACTTGTCTTTCTGCTGAATAAAATCCCAACAGAGAGTAATCTTTGCTGCATTATCAATATCCCTTATTCTTCTAATGTTAAAACCACCTTCTTCTGCAGGTAGGGTTACTTGACTCCACTTTATCTGAGCCATCTTCTTAGTGTCCTGCTTGCCACTCCACAGAAAGTGTTTACACCTTCTTTCCAACACATTTTTAACTTCCCAAGGAACCTTGAACCCAAAAATAAAGTGATATAAATATGAAAACAGCACTGATTTTATCATCTCCAACCTTCCAGCTAAAGATAAATTAATTGTATTCCAGTGGCCAATTCTAGCATCTACTTTATCAATCAGCAGCCTTTAATCTCCAGTTCTTAGAATATTATTAGATAAAGGTAACCCAAGATATCTGAAAGGAAACTTTTCTACTTGAAAATGGAGAATTCTTGTTAATCTTCTTCTGCCTCTCACTGCTTTAGAAAAAATAATAGAGCTTTTAATCTTCTGTTCTTTTCTCACTGAATCCGTTATTTAATCTTTTTATACAAGTCAAATAGTGGTGATAGGCTTTTATGGGGGTTAAGTGTACCTTAATGCCTATACGTTTGCATATATATTATTTTACATTATTCTTTTGGGAGTAGTCATATTTCTCTAGATTCGGCTTAAGAACTTTCTTTTGAGTCTTAGAGAGGCATGATCACAGAAACATTCTAGTAACCCTTCTACCTTTATTGTGGATATAGGCACACTGCTATACCTTTTTGACTATTGTGTTTCAAATCCTTGTCTGTCCTACTTTTATTGTTTGATCCCGAGACGTTTGGTCTTGAACAAATTGAAATTCTGTTCCTTCATTACTAAATCTAGAAGTGCATTTTATTGATGGTCCACACGTGGGTTTAATAATAAGCCATAAACGATTGTCTATTGATTTATTCCATACACTTCAAACACAGGGCAAGGAAGGAAAATCTTGCACGTGCTATTGAGCATGAATCAAATGGAAATTCTGCTGCTGCTTATGACTGCTATCAAAAGGCTGTTGATATCTCACCTTCCGTTGCATATGACCTAATTCAGGTAGTAAGAGGGGTTTTTTTTGTTTTTTTTTTTTTTTTCCCTTGCTGATATATTGTAAACTAGCGTCATAAGTATTAAATGATGGCTTGGCAGGAGTTAAACTTATAAATATATCTATTTCTTCAAATGAATTTCAATTTCTTCCTAGTGCTGCATAATGTTTCTCTTCTGTTGACATGGTTGCATTTAAAAGGTCTTAAAGCAGGAGAACATATTTTATGTTGTGGCTCCTTATGAGGCAGATGCCCAAATGACCTTTTTGGCAGTCAGCAAGCAGGTTGATGCAGTTATAACTGAGGACTCAGACCTAATAGCATTTGGTTGTCCCAGGGTAAGTTTCTGGTTAGTGGTTGATTTGAAAAGATCATATAAGGCTATAACACTCATATGTATGTCTTCCTTTTGCTGGCATCATATGCTTATTTTTCTGACTTTCTGACTTGTAGAAAAAGGATGCAATTTACAGTGCGATGCATATTTTATTTAATTTTTTGGCTGGGTTATTTTACTTATCTCATAAATCCAGATCATCTACAAGATGGACAAGTTTGGGCAAGGTGTTGAGTTTCAGTATTCAAAGCTACAACAGAACAAGGAGCTGAATTTGACAGGATTCACCAAACAGATGCTCCTTGAGATGTGCATTTTGAGTGGTTGTGACTATTTGCAGTCTCTGCCTGGAATGGGCCTGAAAAAGGCTCATGCACTCATGAAGAAGTTCAAAAGTTATGAGAAGGTGAGTATTAACACCAGTCACCTAATTGCAATCTTTACTTGATAGGGCCAGAATGCTGGTTTAGTGGAGCAATGTCAGGTAAAGGGTCGTGTTTACCATACCGACCATGTCTGTCCCATTTCTTGCTATTTTTATCCTTATACATGCTGATAAGTTCTGAAAATGAACTTTGGCTGATTTAATGCTTCTAGGTAATTAAGCACTTAAAGTACAGTACAGTTGCAGTTTCTCCTAGCTATGAAGAATCATTCAGGAGAGCAATACTGACTTTCCAGCATCAACGGGTTTATGATCCTACCATTGAAGATGTTGTACATTTATCTGACCTACCTGATAATGTTGGTGATGATTTGGACTTCTTAGGCCCATATCCTTGATGTATTACTTGCTGAGTAGTCTAATGTTTAGCTAAGTACAAGTTTTTTGCCGTCCTAAAATTAAATACTTTGAATACCCTTAACGAAATACACATCATTAGCCCAACATATTGCTAAAGGTATAGCAAGAGGTGAGCTTGACCCTTTCACTCAAATGCCATTTCAGGTATTATTGCAACTTGCTATTTTGTTTTTACATTTTTTTGTTTGTATTTTTTATTAACTCTTCTAATAACTGCAAATAATGATTAACTTTTTTATTTTTCTTTTTATTTATTTATGTGTTTTTCTTTTTCTTAAACAAGATTCTTATGTCTAGAACACTGAATTTTATGTTTTTCATTTGTGTATGTGCACAAATGCTTGTTTCATTACTTAACCGTAGGTGATATGTGTATCACCTTGTTATTTAAATTGGCTGAACATTTTGAATGGTGGTTACTTTGACAATGCCCAGATTGATTGTTGTCAACAATATTGTTGTAATAGGTAATGCTCTAAAAGGCACAAACGTGAAAACTACATGATACAATGAATCTGTAAAAAGTAGAACCCGGTTAGGATTTTAAACACAACAATATGTAAATGTATATTTTTATACATGGGTTCATTTCTTAGTGGATGGCAAAAGTTTGGGTTGCCATCCATGAAAGCATCCACTTTATACAATCCATCCCTCCTGCTATCCAGCATTAGTGAGACCAACACTAGGCAATGACTTATTCCTTCTAATATTACGTAGGCACATATATAACTTCTATTAATTTTTTAAGATCTATAGAACAATTGCATTATGTGGAGAATTGAAAATCATCAGACATTATACATATACTTATATTATGTAAATTACTACCAGCGATGTTTCTTTATTTTTTTCTGTTATAAAAAAGTGTGTTGCATGCTTGACTTGTGGTGGTCATGAGTAGAACCGAATTATTATTATTTTTGTCAATTTTGTAAAGGAAAGGGGTTGGGCAATTCAGTTTTGTTCATTTTATTTTCAAGAGTGTGAACAAGGTTACAACTCGGAAGTGGCTGCACGTTTTTTTGGGTAAGTAAGAACACACACAGCTATAGCAACACACACACATACACACTATAGCCCAATGGTACTCGAACCCTCAGCCTCACAATTGAGAGGGTGAGGAAATAGTCAAAAGTCCACTTGAGCTAAAGGTTGGGTGGTGGGAAGTGGTTGTGCTACATTGGTCATTGGCTAGGAAGTATCTAAGAAGAAAGTTTAGAATCCAAGATTATGCAATTAAATTTTAAATTATAGGCACATCTATGAAGTGTTGGATACATTCATAGGAGTGTCCAAGGAGTGCCAGTTGTCTGATGCATGTCTGACAAGGACAAGGTTCATAATTAGAAGGGTTGGTCAGACCTAGCTAGTTCCATATCCATAATAATGTTTGTGAAATTGAAGAAATAATAGATGGAGTATTTCAATGATCAACTCAAATTCAGTCTTAAAAGGAAACGTAACTACTTGAGGTAGTTCCTTTCCTTTTCCATTTCTCTTTTTTTAGAGCCATATCGGTTGGGGTAGATTGATTTGAAATATGAAGGAAGATTCTTAGGGGAAGAGTTCCGCAATAAATAAAATGTCAAAATGCTGCATCTTTGATTGTTCTAAAAACAAAAGCCCGATTACGTTCAATCTTATGCCATCCTCTTTCCTTGTCAGACAATTGTGTTTGAAGTTCTCTCTTTCCTTTACTTATGTAATAAAAACCTTTTTATGTTTTCTAAAAGGATCTGAGTGCTGTTTTTATGTAAATAATTACTATTATGACAGACACGTTTGCTTCTTCTAGTTAATGGTTGTTGATGATCTTTCTTGCAATGAGTTAGTGTGAGGTTAAGGCTATAAATAGGGGGTGCATAATTTGAAATGACAGTAAAATTGTCTTGAAAAATTACGTCATTGCAACTTCATGTGATGTGGGTTGGCACCATTATTTCATTTTACAAGTAACAATTATTATTTACTTGATATTTATGTGTTCTATTTGAATTTATTTTTGTTGTCATTTTTGAAAAAAATTCCCATCCTTTACCAACATGGTTTTTGCTTGGCTCTTTCATCTTCATTTTATAACAGGGAGAGGATGTTAGTGCTGGGATGGTGCTTGATCGAACTTACCGGCTAAAAAGTTTCAAACCTGAAGTGAAAAATAAAATGCTGGATTTGCCTGCACAGAAAAATCTCCTGACTAACTACTTCTGTATCCATTTAATCCAATTTTTAGCTTTATTTATGTTATTGTAATTTCTTAAATAATCTATCCTATCAAACAAAATAACTGCAGGAAAAATGTTGTTTTGTTCCTTTCAGTTAGTGAATATTTTGTAGTTAATCTATAATAGTTTTGATTTATTAATTCCGAACCTGAATTTCCTCATGTTGTGTTTGAGAGCACTGAATCGGTGCCTTGGATTCGGTTTTCCCAAACATAGCTTCAGGAACATCTTATTGTGCATTATTCTCATTTTCTCGCAGCAAATTAGATGAAATTCCTGATATTTATATGTTGCTGAACTTTGGTGTTTTCATACATATAGTATAGCTACATATGTTGTTTGCAATGGGATATCACTTACCTCGTCTAAGTGAGATTAGCAATGGTAGGGTTGAGAGCCCATAGGGTGCAAACTACCACTTTTTACTTGAAGGTTACCATGGAAAAAAGGAGGAGGAAAAATTAGGGCAGTGGAGGCAGTTTATAAAATTGACAATATAGATAGATATATGAAGAGTCTAAAATAGGTGGAGGATGTGCAATGTGTTTAATTCTTTGGTCCCGATCATGGTAACATACTAAAAAAAAGGTGCATCTGGTGCATTTTGCTTTCCCTTAACACCTAAAGGTTTTGCATCTCTTGAAGCAAAGAGGAATTTCAGGGCCCCTCGAGTTACACCTAAGCATCCAAATCTAGTGAATGAAGCTTCTAGTCCTGTGGAACATTTTAATGAGGAGATTACTGCTTGTAAAACAAACTGCTCTCCCGCATCTACGCTCGACTCTGGAAATCTGGGCATTGTCACTCTTACCAAAGGCTCTGTGAGTGATGTGAACGGGAGTGTTGACATTTTGGTTGATTTTTCTTTGGCGACTGAAACTATTGTTATGCATTTCTCCTGTATTAAAGGCTTTGTTTTTTTCTTTTAGGTGGATAATGATATTGCCACAAAAACTCCCAAATTTTTGGATTCCTCAAGCCATGGTAAGAAGATGCTTTTCTGTCAAATGGGTCTAAATATTTGTTTATGGATTAATACTAACTTCCTTGTATTCCCATAAACCGAGTAGGATTGCATGATGTAAAAGACATTGTGGGTGACACAAGAAGTCCAAAACATGCTTTGCTGCAACAATCCGAGCACTCAATTCATAAACCTTGCATAGCATTGCATAAAGAGCATGAATGCAAGTCTGCCTCAGATGCAGGTGAAGGCAAAACCAGAATGGAAACCATGAAGGTTATCGTGAGGAGCTCTTATTTTCAGCATAAGTCGGTGAAGGATGATCAGGAGAACAGAAATGAAATGCTCCTAGTGAAAAAAAACAATGCCACTAATACATGTGAAAATACCATTACTGAGCATGGACGTAAGTCTGTGTCAGATGCAGGTGAGGGCGAAACTAGAATACCGAGCAGAAAGGCTGTTGTGAGGAGTTCTTATTTTCAGCATAAATCAGTAAAGGAGAATGACCAGGACAGTGAAAACAAAAAGCTCCCTGTCAAGTATGATGCTGTCACTGATACATTTGAGAATACTATTCCTGAGAGTGCTGCTTTTGGAGAGAACTATGTTAGAGGCACAATCACGAAAAGGAAGATTGCCTCTATCGACAGCGTCCAAACAGTAGGTGCTTTATGTTCAATGTAGATTCCCTTGTGTTCTCTTTAAAATTTGGCGCTAGCCTTTCTTATTCTAACTTAATCTGTTTTTATTTGCTCAAGGAGAATGTGAAGTCTAAGTACATACGGGCAGATACATCTCTTTCAATTCCAGGTACGTATATATTTCAATTGCTGTTAGTGAATTATGTTCTGGAAACTAAAATCTCTTTGTAAGTTGAGATAAAACCTAGTACTCTTTTCCTTTCCTATACTAGGGTTAGTGTTAGCCGTCTTTACCTACCCTTGTTACCATGTATATTATACTAGAAAAAATGATTATACCAGAAGTATTATAATTTAGTGCTTGATTGATATCCTTATTGACGTTTTGCATTGTCTTATTGTCTTTTTATGTAATTTTAAATGACATAATAATGGGCATACAAGAAGACATTCTTTGGTCCATGATATTTGCCGATGACATAGTATTATTGGATACTTTTAAGGGAGCCCTAGCAATAAAATTAAAAACATGGAGAAATAAATTAGAAACAGAAGACCAAAAAACACGGTATGACTAATGCTCAGCATAATACATAATAACTTCATAGGTTTCTTTGATTCAGGTAACCGCATTCTTAATCTGGACGAAGCTGCTTCGGAGAGGAACACTGAAGAAGGGAAGTTTGGATGTAACATCTCCCATTTAAGCCAATATTCTGATATAGCAGAGAGATCAATTGAAAATTTTGTTTCAGTAATATCATCATTCAGATGCTCATCATCCGGTTCTCGTGCCAGTGGCCTCCGTGCCCCTCTAAGAGATGTGCAGAACACTTGTACTAACAGGTAACACCATTTCATGCTTAAATTTATTGTTCCTACAAATTCTATTACAAGCAACAATATGTATTTTGATATATTATTTGTGAAGGTCAACTGCTGGTGCCGATTTAAGCAAATTTGAATATGTATCAACCAAACAGAAAACTCCCTTAGCATCTCGTAGAGGCTAAAATGTGAAAAATATTTAAGCAGAATTATGTCCTGGTCGGGGACTTGAATATTTCATTCCAGTTGCAGCAGGTACACTGATCTTGCTTCATTCTTTGGTGACTGTAAGCAGGATTTATTCTTTGTAATTTTTCTTATGTATTTATCAATGCAATTTTTTTGCCAAGTTTTAATTGTTACTGTATCCTTTTATATAGGAACGACTGGTCAAAGACTCATATAAGATGGATTTAGGTCTGCCACCTGCATGATTGATGAATGATGATGCTCTTCGTATCATTACCTGACATATTGTCATTTGTTGTTGTTGTTGTTGTATTTTCATATATATGGACGTAAACCTGCTGTAACTGTTATCGAGCGCGAAGGAACGAAGATTCTTGCTTTACTTTGGCCGAAAATTTTTATATACCTGATAGGGGTATTATTTGTTTGGTTATCTTGAGGATGTATTGTATCTTTCGTTCTTGGAAAGGTTTTAGTTCCTCATTGTTGAATGCAAAGGTTGAAGGGAGCAACAGTTTTTTAGTGTCATTTTCCTACTGAATTGCACAATGAGCGAGTGAGTGAGATAATGAAGCTGTTAGAATTGTTGTTTTTAATTATTATTATGGTATAAGTTTTTCTATTTTATTTATTTTATCCCAAATTCCCAATCCAATCGCAGATCTCTGGGTAAAATTTTGAGATTTAAAGCAAAAGATCCAAAACCTAAAAATATTTTACTGTGAGTTTGCGAAATGAAACAGAACTTGGAGGCAAAAGAGAATAATGAAAATAATATTATACTATATTTGTTCTTTTTCGAAACATAAAGAATCATTTGAGCAACTTATTATATTAGCACTTTTCTCTTTTCTTTCAAAAAAGAAAAAGTGTGGGCTAAGTGTTTCGCAATCCGATCTAAAAACTTAAACTATTAAAAAGGATTAACATGTAATCCGTATAAACCCAATCGCTCTCCTATCCGAATCCGACATAGGACACCTCTTTCCTTAGCATCAAACTAGTACTTGAAAATAAATAAATAATTTTTATTTGAAAAAAACCCAACCATACAAACTCACTTTCTTTCTTTTACCCTAATAATAAATAAATAATGTAATGTTGTGATATATATATATATATATATATATATATATATATATATATATTTAATGCTAAAAGAAAAAGAAATAAAGCAAGTGGGCCCCACCCATGTTTTAAAACACACAAAAAGTGTATAAGGCATTACATGACCCACGACCCAACTGTTTTCTCTCTCTTTCTCTGCTGCATCTTTCCTCTCTCGGCATCTCACTGCTTCTTTTTCTTTTTGCAATCTCAAAGCTTGATATAACTTTAAACTTTTGAATTTTGGTAGAGCATTGTGAAGCAAAGTTGGAGAGCTCGTCAAGGCCTTCAATTTGATAGGAGCCGATCATCATTTGGTGCACTCTAGGGAGTTCAAAATTCTAGGGTTCTTGGACTTGGATTTGGGGATTTTGGGAGTTTTCACTTCCATTGAGGTAGGGGTGTTCTAATCTACAATTTCTTAGTTTTTTTTGTGAATTTTTCCCCTTAAATTTGATCCTATGCATGCTAATTTTGATTATCTAGTTTGTGGTTGAAGTATGTTTAATTAAAATGCTAAATGTGTTCCATGTGTTATTTGAATTCATATATATGACTAGATTTATTACGATGATTGAGCATGTTTGGTGTTGACATATTGTATGTCCTAAGATTATGTATTTTTTATTTATTTATTGCTTTGAAAGAAAATGATGCTATGGTCAATAAATAAATAAAAGAAATGATTGCTTAGAAATTTCTATTAAATTGTGATAATGATGTAAATGAAATGTGTGAGAGCCTATGGTTGAATTGATAAATCGAAACATCACATTCATGCATTCATTAGGAAAGAGAAAGGAAAAATATATATATATATATATATATATATATATATATATATATATATATATTTTGAACAAACGAAATTATTGTGGGGAAAATATTTTTTTAAAGGAGTTTGCGAAAATCGGACGCCTAGGAGGCGCCTAGTGGTCCGTGGTGTTAGTGTAGTCTAGAAGGGATCATGGTTGAGCTAACTAGGTCGGATGCGACGCCTTGGAGGTGCCTTGTGGTCGTAGATAGTTAGTCAACCCTCCATTCGTGACGCCTTGGAGGTGCCTTGGGTCGGATTACACTAACGGTTTTGGAAGTTGAAACGGAAATGTTTCGGAAAATAGGGAGTAACGTTTGCATATTGCACTTCATGACATTGTGGTAAACTTGTGATTGGGTGGTATTTGTTACATACTTGTTATTGTATTTGAGAGTGTGTGTTTCCTTATAGCATGATCCCTTTCACTTTTAATCTATTCCTTGTATGGATTCACGGGGATATAAGAAGTGTGTCTTAGACACTTCCTACTGAGCTTATGCTCACCCCATTATTTTTAACATTTTTCAGGACATGGAAAAGAGGTGGCGGACGACGATCCACCACGATTTTAGACGAGCACGGAGACCTATTTTATTTTTTTTTGCTATCTTTTGTATTAAAACTCTCTAATATTTTGTAAATGTAATATTAACTAACTCGTAAAACTTTAGTTTAATTAGTATAATGTTGTAAGCCGTGGACTTTTAAATTCTAACTACGCTTTTTGGACTGTAACTTGATGTAATCAACGTATGTTCCTTGTTGGATGAGATGGAGGAATGAGATTTTGTATGTATGTAGTCACTTTGGAGATATGATATAATATATGTATATTGCGTTGGGACAGGATATGTTAGATTTAAGGCCCAGGGAGGCCATTGTAATTATTTTTTTGTATTTCAACAGGTTGTTTAGAGACATTTTCTGCGGAGGTCATGCCGAAATTTTTTATAGATTTTTATTATTATTTTGGTATCCCATTTGGGTCGTTACAAATTTGGTATCAGAGTAATGGTTCGAATACCATTAGGACGACGGGTAGAGGCCTACCTAGGATTGCATGGGGAGTTGAGTTATTTGCTTACTTACTTAATTGTTTACGTGATGGCATGCTTATATGCTTATGTGTTAAGGTGCTGTATATGATTAGCATGATCATGTTTATCATTAGTTGGGTATTCTGTGACTATGAAAGGTGCTTATGTGTTTCCATTCTTGTCAAGTCATTCGTGTGAGGACTTCGTTCTCGTGTGTATTTTAGTGTCATCGTTTTTGATCTGTTTCCTTTTTCTTATAGCGTCATGGCAACACGAAGGGATCACGGGGAAAGTTCTAGCTCCAATCCCGTGGAAAGGGATCAGGAGCAAGTTGAGGAAGATATCTTGTTGCGTGATTTGGTCCCACCAAGAGGGGGACAAGCGAGGGGGACTGTTGATCCACCTTTTCAGATGAATAGGGAACAAATTAGGTTAGCCATTCAAGAGGCTATTTTTGATGCATATCGACCGACAGGCGCGTCATCGTCACAGTTTGTGCCACCACCGGCTCCACCACCACCTCCGAAGACAAATGAGCTAGATGATACTCTTTCTCACATTGCCAGGTTCGTAAAGTTGATGCCAACCTTGTTTGAGGGTGGTCCAGATCCGCTTGTTGCGGACAGTTTCCTGGATAGGGTGGAGAAGCATATTAATGCCACGAATTTGGCAACGGACAAGTTGAAGATCACATTGGCGACTTACAATTTTGTGGGCGATGCTGAGATTTGGTGGAAGACCGTTTCTCACACCCATAATCTGGATACTATGACATATGCTACATTCAAGAAGTTGTATTATGAGAAGTACTTTCCAGCGCCAAAGCGGAGGGAACTAAAGAAGGAGTTTGATGGGTTAAAGCAAGGAAGTATGACAGTTACAGAGTATGAAAACAAGTTTACATCACTTTTGAGGTTTGCACCGGGAATTGCTAATGATGAAGAAGGAAAGATAGAGAAATTTGTTGATGGCCTTGATCTTACCATTAGGCCAATTGTAGCTGCTTCAGAACCGACAGAGTATGCAAAAGCAGTGCGAAAGGCTTTAGTGGTTGAGGCTGAGAGTAAGGACAACAAGGCTATCAGGGAGTCATACAAGCACAACAGGGGTATGAGTACTTTCTCCGAAGGTCAATCAAGTAAGAAGCAGAAGCATGAACAGTCAGGGTTCAGGGGACAGCAGCCAGTTAGATCTGCACCCACAGCTTCAGTGTCCATGGGGTCTTCTAGACCGAATGTTACTTGTTTCAGATGCGGGCAGTTGGGACATTACAAGTCCCAATGCACTCAGACACAGGTAGCTCGGATGATTTGTTTCAAGTGTGGGCAGCCAGGGCATCACAAGTCTCAGTGTACTCAGATTCAGGTGGCGTCTGGTGGATGTTTCGGGTGTGGCCAGCAGGGCCATAGGGTGAAAGATTGTCCACAGCGGGGCAGTGGTTTGGGCAGAGGTGGAGGTTCACAGCAGAGGCAGATACAGTCTGCCACAGTTCAGTCAGGGTTTCGACCACCACCACCACCTCAGCCGTCTCAGCCAACTATGTCAGCCCAGAGTTCTCGACTTGGTAGGGGAGCTTCTTCGAGTGCACCTACTCAGCAGTCTAGCTATCAGGCAGGCAGTTCCCAGGGGCAGAGGACCCAGGGTCGCGTGTTTGCACTCACTCCAGCCGAGTCACCATCCAGTCCTTCAGTTGTTAGGGGTATGTTTCTTGTGTCCCATTCTTGGGGTCGTGTATTGTTTGATTCTGGTGCTTCTTATTCATTCATTACTTCATCATTTGCACGGGCATTGGGTTTAGAGGTCAGTCAGTTAGACAGACCGCTTTGTGTTGACACGCCTATCGGGGGTTTAGTTGCTCTTAGTAGAGTTTGTAGGAATTGTTCCATCACAATTGTCGGACGTGTTCTTGAGTTCGATCTCATCCTTCTCGAGATGACGGGATTTGATGTCATTCTTGGGATGGACTGGTTGTCATCCTTTAGAGCTGTCATTGATTGTTTCAGGGGTAGAGTTTCAGTGTGTACCCCGGATGGGGATTGTTTCTGTTTTGTGGGAGATCGGTGTGATCCTCTCACTCATTTATTTTATGGTGTTAGGGGTCGAGATCGGCAGACATTCTTCTTAGCTAGTCTTTTCGCCGATGATGACGTTGAGTTTTATGGGGTTGATTATCCAGCAGTTGTGCGTGATTTTCTGGATATGTTTCCGGAGGACTTGACTGAGTTGCCTCCACACCGAGAGGTGGAATTTGCTATTGATTTGATGCCTGGTACCGCACCAATCTCTATGGCACCATATCGTATGGCACCGATTGAATTAGAAGAATTGAAGAAGCAACTTGATGATTTGAGAATGAAAGGCTTTATCCGACCGAGTGTGTCACCGTGGGGTGCACCGGTCTTGTTCGCTAAGAAGAAAGATGGTTCTTTGAGGTTGTGCATTGATTACCGAAAGTTGAATCATGCCACCATCAAGAACAAGTATCCTTTACCAAGGATAGATGATTTATTTGATCAGTTGAGGGGAGCCAGTTGTTTTTCGAAAATTGACTTGAGGTCAGGCTATTATCAGTTACGGGTTAGAGAGGAGGATATTCCAAAGACCGCGTTTCGTACGCGGTATGGACATTACGAGTTTCTTG